TAAAAAAAGTGCAAACTCATAACTTGACTAACGTTTTGTTTCCTCTTCTCTCCCCCACTCTAGCGCCTCCGGCCGTCTAACCACGCCACCATCCAGAGCATCGTCCACGCCATCGGCCTGTACGACCAGGTTCCGGCCCCGTGCTGTGTGCCTGACGTCATGTCGTCCGTGACCTTGCTCTACTTCGACGAGGACAGGAACGTTGTCCTGAAGAACTACCCAGGCATGACTGTGGAGTCGTGTGCCTGTCGTTAGAACTGACGTCAAGGAGCTGACGTTAGATCACGTCAATGAGCTGTCGTTAGATCACGTCAAAGAGCTGACGTCAATGATCACCTGATGGGGTGTGCAGACAAATCTATTCGTCCTATCCGACGAGTCGAAAGTCGTGTTGTGATGCCTTTCGGCATTAAAACTCATAATCTGTTTTTTTTATTTTTGTTCTTCAGAACTGAGCACGGTGGCATCATACATCGCTATGTAAGCATTTCAACTTTCTACACAAACGAAGATATTAGTAAAGAGATATATATTGCACGTTTGTGTGAGAATCATGAGTGATTGTTCGTTAAATCTTGGCCAGGGTCAAAGGTTGAATGGCGTGTGTAGTGTCACCATCTTAGATCAGCAGCTCTAGATGAATGAAGGACATTCAAACTGAAATGTTTCTGTGTGGTGGATACGCAATGTTCATGACGCTTAAATACATCTACTGTCTTCGTATAATGAACTTCCAATTGTGAATTTACAACCTCAATGATTGTGTCTCCATTAATGGGATATAAGTGTGAGGGTTCCTTCTCTTATGAAGCCAAGAGTTGTGTGTCGAGTGGTGTCTTTATAAGAATACTATTAGTACGCCAAAGTTAGATAATCGTGGTAGCTGGCTTTTTTCTTTAAATTTAAAAAAATGTATCATCTTATAATGAAGGGGAAAGAAAAATAAACTAGAACGGCACCAGATTTGTCGCTAAAATGGCTTTAGAAAATAGTTTAGGTGACTGAAAGGTGGTCTTTTGTGTGTGAGTGGGAGT